CACCGCGCCCGCCGCCCGCCCGCCATGGCCCGGCCACCGCCGGCCCCCGCCAGCCCCACGACATGGTGCCGCCCAGCGCCCCGCTCCTACCCCCGAGCCAATGTGCGCCGGCCCCGCCCGCCGCGCGCCGCCCGCCCGCCAATCAGCCGCCAGGGTTGCTCTGGCCGGGGAGACGCGGCCGGGCGCCTCCAATAGGAACGGCGGGGGGGGGGGGGGGGGGGGTGCCCGCCAATGGGGCGGCGGCAGCGGCGGCGGGGTTAACCCCGACCCGCCCGGCGCCGGTGCCGCTCCAGGGCTGCGGGGAAGATTCCCGGCGTTGGGGTGAAAGCAAGCGAATCCGCGTTTGTCACACACGTTTTTCAAGTGCATATGGAAAATGCTTAGCTGTGGCTGCGCGCAGCAGCGCTCCGCGGGAGCAGGATGCTGTGGCAGCGGGTCCCGTAACAACGCGCGCCGCCGTCAGAGGCACTTGGCTCCTCGGACTTTGGAATTACAGAATTATAGTTTAGAATTACAGCCCTCTTAACCAGTATTGTTATACTATATAGCCCTATTATGACTGTGTGCAGTCCTGAGCAGTACACCTCCTTCTATAATCTAGCACCAATAAATTGGATGCTATTCAACCATAACATCAACAGAATTTTATCTCTCCCCGTTCAACTACAAATAACACATCAATTTAGAAGTTTCCCCCGTTCAACTACAAATAACACATTAATTTCAATTTCCCCTCTAGGCTCACACAGTCCCACTGTGCAATAACGCCCCGGTGCCGATTCCATCAGGCAGGCAGCGCTGGAAGTTTGGCCGGGAAGGCGCCGCTGGTGCAGGGCCAGCCCGTCCGAGCAGGAGCACGCCCGGCAGCACCGAGCGTGCTCGCCAAACGCCCGGCAGGAACGGCGAGTCCCGCGCTGCACTCACCCACCACAGCTGCAGCCCCTTCCTCCACAGCTCCTCACTGGCCAGGACGTTTTCTCCACTGTTTCTGCTCCACTTGCTGTTCCTCATCCTCTTATGGTCCCTTTTCACGGAATCATTTATGTTGGAAAAGACCTCTCAGATCATTGTGTCCAATGTAGTTGACTGCGGTGTCTTGGGCTACTTTAACACTGCAACAAATACTTGCAGACTGGCCTGAAGTGGAAAATAAATGTATTTCTTTCCAGGAATTTTCCCTTTCCCTCCTCCATGTTTAGGACTTGGAACGAAAACTTTTAATGTGACTTTAAAAAGCCCCTTTGAAAAAAAAAAAATAAAAATCATACCTAGTGCTTTATGACTTCCTGCTGCAAGGTTCCAAGTGCCTCAAGCAAACATCTTTGCAGACATCCACACTCAGGCTACTTCTCTTGTGCAATGCTATTGCTAGAGGGAAAGATACTTAAACATATAGATATATATAGATATTAATAACACAGTTTCATTGTTATGGACTCCTCCTCCGCCAGCTCCTCACCCAATTAACGTTTTAAACCTAACTACAATCTCAGCTTTCATTATTAATTAGCACGTTAATATTTAAGTGCCGAGCCATTGTCCACAGCTATAGAAACATGAAGGGCTAAGAAGTGACCAAGTGCGTCAGGTTACAGACAAGGCATGGGGCTGGGGATGTTGGATGGCCAGGGGACCAGCAGGACACAGGGTGGTCACGAAGGGCCATCATCTTCCAGAGGTGACAGGCAGAAGAGCTTTGTTATCCCTTGCCAAGAGCAGAGCCCAGGAAGATCAAGAGAAAGAGCTGGAATAAGGACTATCTCAGGCTGGAGAACACGGTCTGGCTGGGGAAGAACAGCAGCCAAAGGGCCATTTCAAAAGCTGGGGCTGGTGTGAGAAGGAAGCAATAGAGGCTGTGAAATATTTCTATCTGCTCCAGGAAAACCTCTCCATGCTCAGAAGGAGAAAGCTTTAAATCAACATACACTCTCACCAGATACTGCACAGATCTTCCTATTCAAAGAGCTGTGTGATCCTGGCAGCAGGCTGAAATAAGGTTTATACAACAAAAAAGAAATTCCTGAGTCAAGGATGGCACTGAGACATAGCAAAGCATGTTAAGCATGGCTTTGCAGAAGATACCTGCACAAAATAAAGCCACGTGTCAATAAGGTGAAGGCACAGAAATAATTTGAGGCAAGGTGTCTCTGAGGTCAGGTATCAAGCACTGACCCTTGGACGGAAACTCTTCAGAAAAGGTGCCACCCCCAGCTCTCTTCCCTGCCAGGCAGTGGAAAGACAAACAGGAGTCATTGCCTTGACTCACCCAGGAGGAGGAGCCCTTGGATCCTGTGAAATGGGAATGGTGAAAGAACATAAGAGACATGAGACACCAGGGAAGGACAGGGCAGGTGAGCTGAGGAGCACTTAATGTGCACCAAGACTTCTCACACAAGTGTGGGAAGTTCACTCAGCTCAGAGCCCAACTCAGTGCCCACCTTCCCCTGCCCTCCCTGCGGTGTGACCTGTGGGGAAAAGGAAGGGCCACAAGGTCTTTGCTCAGTGGAAAGGTGTGGATAGATAGAATGTAGGAGAATAGAGATAGAGGTAATCTCACCCCTAAGGAGTTACAGCCGTGCTAATTATCAAGAATTAGGAACAGGCCTGCCCTTAATAGGCCACGGCTGGATCCAATTAGGAGGGGTGTTGTAAAAGAGCAGGTTGGCTGGTCTAGAAGGGAGGATGGAGGTTGTTGGCTGTGCTGAGGAGTCAACGCTGTGAGGAGCTGCCCAGGAGAAATCACCAAGGAGGTACGAAACCTGTGCAACAAGATGGCAACAGAAAGGTACCACAAGGAAGCTTTCACTGGGACTGCAGAGTGGCAAAGGGGTCCCTCAGCACATTGACAAAAAGGCCAGATCCTTAGTACTGGGATTAGATGGATGAGACCAGGCTTGGACAATGTGTAAACTCTCAGGAGTCCCCCAGGCACAAAACCCCAAGCGTGGCTGTGCTGACTCAGTCCAGGTGACCTCAAAATCAGCTGTCAGCAGCTGTCCCTGCACCTGAGGAGCAGAGAGGCCAGCTCAGGCTGGCTCCTTTCTCCTGGGCCTGTCCAGAGGGAAGGACAGCAGGAGACTTCCCTCTGCAGATCCAGCCCGAGGCACTGCAGCCTCCAGCTGCTGGAGTTCCATCACTTCATCAGTGAGCATGTGAAGGCACTAGCACCAAATGTCTGCTGCTGAGCATTTCTACCTCATGGCTCCTTAATCTGTTTCAGGGAAAAATCAACAGGGTTAGTTTGTATAGGTGCTTTGAGCCACCTGGGTGATTTTGCCTGGAGCAGATTAGGAAATGCACACCCCAGTTGCTCCCAGACAATGCTGGATACAGGAGTTACAATAAGAAACTACATGTGTCAGTATTTTAACAGAGCACCACACCCTGAACATGAAGTTAAAGCAGTTATGTGGGGCATTAAAAATCTTTTTAAAACTGTCAGGTTTATTTATACAGTTGTAAGTGTGTAATTAAATATTTGGGATTTTTTTTCCTCCAAAACTGTGTTTAACTGGAAAGACAAAAACACACACTTAACATTTAAACTTCCTTAATTGCTTTTAAATGTCACCACAAATTAAACAGTGTTTATTCTCAGTCTAATTGACAGCACCACGAAGATGTCACCTCTCCACCTGAGCACAAAGGCTTTAAAGGAACAGCAATGCACATTTGCATTGCACAAGCTGATTTTATTCTCCCTGCCTCCTCATCAGCACCTCTGTGTACCTTTGATGGCCCTGTGCCTGCTCCTGCCTGTTCTCCTGCATGAGAGCTGATAATCCCAGCGTCACTGCTGGAGGAGCAGCCACCAGCTCACTACAGACCAGGTCTCCTCATGGAGAGGGGGAAGAGTCCTGCTCCCTTGGGAGAAGAAAACCAAGAGCAGTTAAACAAAGCCCAGATGTTTGTCGGGGTTCCACAGAGGACAACTAACTCCCCTCTGCATCCTTTCACCAGAGACTGTGCCAGGAGAAGACAGAGAATTTGGGGATTATTAACATCAGAGCTGCACGTACTGGAAACTTGACAAGGGCAATGGAGTGGTCATTTCAAATTGACTGAAATTGGATAGATTAATAAATAAATTGTAAGCTCTCTTTTTAAAATTCAGAATCATTTTAAGTTAAAGTGTAAGACTAGTTTGGCAATTTCATGAAGCATCAGTGCCCAAAATGAACTTTTGGAAAGTAGAATCCCTGCCCATGGCAAGGAGTTGGAACTAGAGGATCCTTTAAGTCCTTTTCTTATTGAAACCATTCTGGGATTCTATTAATAAAAGCAGTGGGCATTGTTCTGAGTCCTCTGTAAAATATTAGGGTTCATCATCCTGGGAAAAAGAAAGGGAGAAGAGAGACTGCCTTGCTTGGAAAACAAACAGAGACAGATGCTGCCACGGAAAAGGGGCAGTACCCACAGTACCAAGATTTTACCTTCCTTTCTCTTTAGAGAAGTGTTGCAGATACTGGATTAAAGCATTCTCAAGCTTCTCACAACAAATCAAGCTCTGCTGAGCTGGGGGGGTTGAAACAAGTCACTGTGCTGTGACAACATGCCAGCCAGGCTGTTGTGCATCTTCTCTTGTATGTGGGTATTAGCCCAAAATAACTAAAGATATTTAAATCACAAGTAGCTGACTTCAGAGCAAACCAAGTAAGCTGTGCAGAGACTCTTATGGTTCTTCCTGTCACTTTCTCAGGCTGTCACCAGAACATGGGGATTTATTTTTAATGCATGGCCTTTATCAGATTCCTGGTATGAAATTCCTTCCCTCTTCATGTGAGCATCATGAAATAGAGGGGTCACAGCAAGGATCCTGAACACAGCCTTGAGAACTGACCTGGGGAACTTCTAAGTCATTTAACCTTTACCCCAACTTGACTGCTAATACAACAGCTACAGAATGAGAACTGCTTTCATGAAAAAGGCCTCTAATTCCCCTTCTAGTTCTTCAAGACATCACTCAAATTTACCCAACATTACTAAAGGAGTAATTGATGCTGAGTGTCCTTAATGGCTACCCAGCTGACACTTCCTTACAGATAACCCCCTTGAT